CTTTGACAAAACTGCCAGTAGATTCCGACCGGGTCCTCTAAAGAACGCCTCGGCTGCTCCATCATCTTCACCGCCTGTAAAGTAGTAATTAAATATAAAACCCGTATAAAAAGGTTTTTGTATTAATAACAACCAATATGAGGCCTTTGGAGAGCTCCAGACATAGATAACAGGACAGACATTTCCGTTCCTTTGTACGCTGCCAGAGCACATTCAGGTATCGATAACGCAAAACGCCATTTACCATTGTATTCCACGGAACAAGTATCTTGTATTTGAGAACAACATGATGTTCCTAAATAATCCTGAAAATAGAAAATAGTTTGCAATGCATATAAAAAGTTCTTTATTATTTTAATAGTGTTATTTACTTCTGTTGATTCTATAGTGTTCGTCCGTTCATTGTTTACCTCGTATATATTTTCTAACACATCAGAATTAAAAATAAACACATGGCTTTGTTTGAATAGCTGACACGCGTAGTGTTTTAAACTATATTCAAAAATTGACTCAAACGATTCCCTTTGAATACTTTTGCGACTTAACCCACTTATACTAAAAAATAATAATTTACCTTAAATAATCTATTATAGGCACTCTTTTAAATTAAACTATACTCAAGAGTGACCGTTTTCAAATCACATAAACGGTTTGCATGTCCGTCAAGTACATATAATAACGCATCAGTGGTGAAACTGTTAGAACTCTTTAGAGAGTAGTGTTCTGATGGTTTCGTTGAAAAACTTAAATGCACGTGAAAAGGAGAGCAATCAAATGATTCTACGTATACCCGACCTGACTTTTTACCCTGAATATTAAACAAGAATAGTATTAGAGTTTAGAAGATCCACTTGAACACATTAAGAAGGGTTGGTTATATTTAAATAGAATTACCGGTGGCATATCGGTAGCATGAAGCGAACTAACGTCTTGTCTAAATCTGGCATCCAGTGGTCGTTCAAAAACAGCCAGGAAAGGTGACAAAGTTTTATGCATACTCACTACAAACGTACGATCTAGTTGCACGGTAAAATCACGGAGACTTATATAAATGTACCTATAAAGTTCAAATTATATACAATTTTTTTTTACTTTTTCTAAAATACTTGCTTATATAAATCATAATGACATGACACTGAAGTTTTAGAATAAGCAATTTCTAAGCAAGGTTTTAAAGAACGCGATGAGATTTTGTTAGCTGGTGTTGGATACAGAGCTGTTTTAAAAGTGCAGTTTGATAGTTGATTATCCACCTAAATTAATTGATAAAAAAATATTTCAAAGTTTTTTCATATATATAAAAAAGAAAAATTACTTGAAGTCTATGAATTTTAAATTGAAATATATTATTTTTTGCGGTAAATCTGCAATGGCTCCAAACAGCTGGATTGTACAATCGGCGCAGTTGCCCAAAGAATGGTTTAATCATTTGCATTTTATCGAAATCGACCTAAAAGTTAACATTTATGTATAAAGATTTTAATATTGGAAATTTCAATTAAAAAAATAAAAACAAACAGTAAAAATTAAAAAAATATATATACACACATGAACATAGTCTTTAAGATGAGCTCTTTTATTATGATTATCCCACATTTCCTCTAACCAACATGCTAGTTCCACCGTGAATGGTTTCCATATATTACCAATTTTTACCATCCACTCAGATGCTGAATCCGATAAACTAGCATATGCAATTTCTTCAGTGTAAACACCGCGACATGTACTCTTAAAATATAATAATATTTTTATTTATTTTCAATAAACTCTATATTTTTATCTTACTAATGATAACCCAACACCTTTCACAGATATAACCAAATCAATACATGATTTACTCTTTTCTATTCTTTTTCGAGCGACCGACGCTGTTTTCTCATCTTGAGTAAACAATAATACTCTTTGACCACCAACTTCAACGTAACTCACCCAGTATACAACTATTTTAGCTTTTTTTGTTTTTGACAATTGAAACGTCACCTACAAACAAAATTTATGTTGAATAATACTATGAAATTTTCAAAAAATTTATAAATACTTTAGAACTGGGTTCGTCCGAATCAGAATCTTCAGCACTACTAGTGTCGCTAGGCTCTTGAGTTTGACTAGTTAAAATCTTTATCAAATTTAAATTATTATTATTATTGGCTGTTTCAGAAGGTTTTACTTGACAGAAACTTAATCTTTCTTGTCCATAGCCCTCTTTTTCAAATTTCGCAACAAAACCCTTAGATTTTTTGCTGTACACGTTCCAATATAAAATCCTTTCTTCAGTCGGATCATCCCACGTGTACAATACAGATTGATTAGGGCTTAGCAATGTAACCTGTATAAATTATAATTAATATTTCTAATAACTAATTGATCAATTTATTGTATATATACACAGTCTGTCCAAAAATTTCCGGAATAACTTCTATGAAACTTTAGATATTAAAATTAGCATTTTTTATAAATATAAATACAAAAATCAAAGTTTTACTTACATTTTACGCAGCTTGACCGTGAATTGGCAAAAGTATTTAATGTTAATTGGTTATAAATAACACAACATACGGTTTTCAAATTTAGTTTCTAATCTAGGGATTACTCGCAAAATAATTGTTTAAAATGTTTAAGAAATGACTATTCATGAGTGGTTTGTTTAATTTTGGAACGTATAGAAGACATGGTTAGCAACTCTTCCACAACACCATTACAATTCTGATATATTTTTTTTTACTTTTATGGAATTATTGTTCATAAAGGATTAGTGTCAAAAGGTACTTCAGTGATTAGTAAACATTACAAGAGGGTTTCGGAACGATTATTGTAATACATTACATGTATCCATCTTTTAAAGTTTAAGATCATACTTTTTTTATATTGCACAATTATACTACTACACACACGATCAAATTCAACTAATTTTTTTTAGTGGATGAAAGTTTTTAACTGTCCACCACTGAATATTCACCAATTAAGCCTTTCGGGCTGTTTTGCATTTCCAAAATTCAACTTAAAGTTGAAATGGGATAAATTCTAGAGAATTTAGAACATACAGATAGACTATGATCAACAAGGTAAAGAAGACCGTTATAAGTTGAAGCGCTTTTGTAGTCCATAGAAAACTAAAAAAAAACAACTCTGTCGTATGAAATGGAAGGGAAGTACTTAGCAATATTGTATGCGTTAAATATTTTTTTTCACTTCGCATTCTTTCATCATTTTATTATGATAACCTTTGAGACAGATTGTGAATATACAGTGTAGTTATTTATTCAGAATACTATTCCTCATTTTTCGTTGAATAATAATTTTTCATAAAAACTTACAGATTAAAATTTGATTTGTTTTCATGAACCATAGTAGTAAATAACCAATTTATTGTAAGATAAATAATATCTCAAAAATTAATTATTTAAAACAGGTTATCGACAACTAAAAATTTTATTTAGACCATTTATTATTAAATAGTAAAGTAATAATTGGTTCCCATTTGTCATTCGAAAGTTATTCGTATGTTAATCGTAAGAAATAACTTTTTCTCACAATAAATTTGATATTTACAATGATTCTTAAAAATAAATCAAATTTAAATTTATACATTTATAAAAAACTCATTATACAACGAAAAATTAAGGGTAGAATTTTTAATAATCCACACTATGTATTATACAATGTGATATATAAAATGTCAACAATGTCATTTAATATTTTTATCTATTACCTGGCCTAAATTTTTTTGGTGTATTTTTAAGAATATGTCTTCACACATATTATCTATCCTCACTGGAACATCATTTTGTCGAAACTTATGAAAACTTATCAAAAATGGGTTGTTTCCTCCGCCAGTTACTTTAACTACAAGTGCTCTCTAAAGAAAATTAAAACAAAATATCTTATTAGGAAATTTCTTCGTTTAAGTAAATTTAAATGTTAAATGTTCTCAATAAATAATACACACTCCTCTATCCATTCTAAGAACAGTCTGTTGCTCTTTAATTATTGAAAAATGTTGTGATCCTGATTTACTATCTCGAAACTTTACAAACATACGCATCGAATCAGTTTCAGGCCAAAATGGTAAAGTCTAAAATTTAAATAATATTTTGAATGGGGATAATTTATAAGAGTAAAATTTACTAAAATTACCTGGCCTTGTGAAATATCTGTCCACAAATCAGCTTCTTTGTTATCTTCCATAAACCGCAGGCTTCTATTCGAATTATTGGCCACTGAGAAATTTGGTAAAAATGTCACTATTGTAGTCAAATGTGGACAAAGGTTTGATAAAATTGGTTTCATTAGAATCCTGTATTTTTTTTGGCGTTCTTTATCTTTGCAAATTACCAACCCTGGACAGTATACTGTATCCATAGAAAAAGCAGAAGACCAGCTCGAATGATAAGCTCTTAGTTTAATGTTTCTTTTTTTCATTCTCTTGTAAGCAAATAATATTGGTTCCTCAGAATGAGATTCGTAAACAATATCCGATCTGGAGCCCTAAATAACAACAAAAGTTCAAATCATTTTTGAACTAAAACTTAACAACTATAATAAGAATTTTGATTCGATTACTCTTAATTGAAGTGGTAGACCAGTTTTATTTACAATCCAGTATGATGAATGAATGAAAACACGACAAGAATCTTCATCAGTAACTTTTACGGCTATTTTAAGATGCTTGTTACCGCCATCTGTATCATGTTCAGTACTCATATTCACAGTTTTTTCGTTTAAATCTTTACGTAAATTAAATGTACCCGTCCAGGATATACCCAGGTAGGAAGGAACAATCAATTCAGCTTTAAAAATTCGATGAGCGAGATTCAGTTCATAAACGTCAATTTTTTTAGATGCTTCAATTAGATGCTTCGAGTTAGGAAAATTTAACTCAATAGCAAATGGTAAAAAATTATGAATAACTATAGGAGGCACCACTCTAAATGTGTAGTTAGGAACGGAACGAGATGTTCGATTGAATACTGGTACTCCTTCTTCACAGACAATCTATTGACATTATAACCATTGAAATAAAAATATATATTTAACTTAAGCAAAATTATTAATAGGTTAATAATTTAACTTACGCGAACTGAAAATGGTAGTTGCTCTTCTGGTTTAGTTGTAGCACAAACTAAGTCTTTCGTGAAGTTTGCATCAACTGCCATTTCAGGCCACCAAACCCCAGTATCACTAACTAAATAATTCCTAAAAATTAAAAGAATATAAATTTGCATTTTTTTTTTGAACTTATTTAAGTATAGACTTCTATAATTTTAGTTAATAACTACGAATAATTAAAAGAATAAAATCTAAAAAAAAATTTTGTCTTGTTCTATTACTTTTAATTAAACAATGAGTAATTTGAATTTATTACAAGATTAAGGTTTTGAAAAATAAATCACTAAGTACATAAATTGAAAATTTTCATTCTTTAATCAACAAAAAAATAGAGTTCTTAAACTAAATAATGTTTTAGCATAGGCTTAAAACATAATAAAGTTAACTAAACTAATGAATATTTTCAATTTCATGACTGAAATTATAATTAACTAAGGAAGGTCTGAATAACCAAAGAAAGAAATTTAACTTTCTTCTCTTTTATTTTGATAAATCCAGACTTTTATTTTTGATACATATTTTCTATAAAAATAATAAAAAAATAATTAATTTAAATCAAATACATTTAAATAAAGCAATAAAACTCATATATTTAGTAAGAATTGTAAAATGATTGAACTATTTCAACTATAGCAATAAAACTATCGGTTCAAGGAAATTTTTTCTTATTACTTTTATTTTATAAAATTTAATTTAAAAAATTTTTTATATGAAACATAAGGTCGTATTGTATATGGTTCGTCAAATATGATGAAATATTCATAAATATGCCAAAATATTATGTATTTTTTAATTTTTCTGAAAAACTAATGGAATTAGAAAAAACACTGTAAAAATTTAATTTATACAAAACAATTAGATCTACAATTTAGTTCCAGTAATTTTTTTTGTGAGAGCTCAAACTTACAAGTTAATTGGTAAAAACTACCCCTTTTTCAATCCTAAGTACACACATGTTAAATTAATCTGATGAACTTGAAATTTTGGGAGCTACTTTTTATATATATATACACACAAATTTAGGGGGTGGGCATGAAGAATTTCCAAAATTTTAAAAATAAGGGACACCTTATTTATCTACATATTTGTATCGAAGCCACTTTAAGCACTTATACTTATACTTATACTTGTCCAAATTATACCACATTCCCACAGTGCTGGTTTTTTTATTATATTTATGCTATAATTCAGATAGTAAAATCAATAAAAATATCTAAAATAAATTTTTCATAATAAACAAAATGATCATTAACCACAAAATTTCTCCTAAAAAATTTTTTTCAGAATTTATTTTTTATTTTTAGTTTTTTTGAATATAATTTATTAAATATTTTTTAGGTATATCTCTTATTCTTTATAAGAGTACCAATTTTTTTGAATAGCGACATACATAATTAACTTTTTTTTAATTTTAATTAATTATTCATATAATAAAAAATGATCTAACAAAAAATTGACGGGTCGATACTAACATTTGAACCTGTATTTCGGAAGTATCAATATTTTTAAATATAGGCTAGAGATAAAGATTGGGTTTTGTTATTCTTATCGTTATGCATTAATCTGATGCACTTCTATCTCCAACCATGTGTTAAAATGTTCATAACTTCTGAAATACTGATTCAATAATTGTAAATAACCAGTTATTTTCTTAGTTGAAATATTTTCTATTATATAAATTAGTAGAAATACTTTCTATTATATAAATTAGTTAAATATACATGTTTATTAAAAAATAAATAAAGTTTTTAATGAATTTAAAAAGTATTGAACCACTTAAAAATTTTAAAATGAATATTTTTAATAAAAAATGAAGAAATTGCAAATTTTTTTTTTTTTTCATAAAATTTTAAGTATATAATAAAAAAAAACCCAGCACAGGGGTTCGCGGCACAGTGGTGACATGGCGTAGTTGAATTAAGTATAATGATATCTGACAGTGATTAAAATCACTATAAAAAAAAAACGCTTCAATGCAAATCTTTAGACAGTGTTTAATTTTAAAAAATTGGTGTATTATTCCAAAAGCTACATGATATGATAGTTCCTTATTAATACCCCGAATAAGATAAAGTATGTTGAATGAAAAAGTGATTATTAAAAAACATTATTTCTCATAAAAAAATTGTATTGATCCATACACTTTTCAATATGTCATAGCATTATAAAGTTAAAAATGTAAAAAATAATATCGAGAATTTTCACACAAAAATAGCATTCGGTAGCCATTTTCATCACGTAGACAAGTCCAGAGGTCAAATTTTTTTTTTCATAATAAAGTACATTATATTAGCTTTAATTTAATATATATATATAAAAGTGTCAGACTTTCCGGAACAGTTTCAAAAGTTAATTTTTTGTAAAAAAGTTGTTATTTTAAATACCCCCTGTGGCCAGGTTAAGTGTCAGAATTACAAAAAATATATACCAAATGATAGATAAAGATATCAAACATCTATAAAAAAAAAACTATATTGATATATTCATTTTTGAAAAATGTATGGCAGTTTTTAGTAAAAAAAATTGAAAAAATTTCGAAAATTAGCGATTTTTAAATTTGTAATTTTTTTGGAGGTTTCGCCCATTTACGGGGAACGAGGGAAATTTTTTCAATTTTTGAGGATAATGTCTTCAACTAGATACAATTTGTGATCTTTTGACGTATTGTTGAAAGAAATCCGTTCGGTGAGATCTGAGTAAAAGTGGTAACAGACACAAAAAAAAAAAACACATCATAATAAAAACCAATACCTTCTCAGCTTCGCATCGAAGCTAAAATATTAAGATTAAATAATAATAAATTATTTTTTAAAAATAAATAAAATTTTTTATTGTTAATATTTATATAAATAAATAAATATTAAACAAACATTAAGTAAATATTAGCTTACTCTAAACTAGCTGGAGATAAATAAAGTTTGGAGTGATAAGTTAAAGCTATAGGAACGTTATACGTAGAGCCTGCATCAAGTATAGTTACTGTACACATTGTTTCGAATGGATTATCAGATAGTCCTATTACATCTGAGTCCATTTCAAATGCATCCACATCTTCTGTTCGGCTATAGTGTACCATTAACGGATATGAAGTATCATTTTTCAACTATATATAATGTTAAACATACTATAAATTATGTAGTAGTTCAAATGTATTTTTTAGCGTTTTAATAAATAAAATTTCATTTAAATCTTATTTAGTATAAAATAATAATTAATTATTTAATACCGATAGTGGAGATCTAACTGTGATTATATGACTCAATTTTGTTGAAACAACCGAAACCATTATCCAATATCTCGTATCACTCTTTATAGGAAGAAGAGCATGTAGTTTATTACACGTTCTTTTTGGACATATTACAACCAACTCATCATAGCCTTAACATTTACATTAAAATATAATTGTATCAAAATTTAATTATGGTATTTATTAAGTTAAATTATTTACCCTCAACTTTAATTTTAAGTTGACTGTCTGTAACTTTTTTGTGAATTGAATCATTTAATTTACTATCTTCGTCATTATTATCAACACTTAGATATTTTTTCATGTTGCTCACAAAAGTGCAATCTTTAGTAATACTAAGGGAAAAATAGAATACTCATTTAATTATTACTTTTCAATTTCTTCATCACTTAAATATACATAGTAGAAGTAACAACATAAACTGTAATATGCTTTAAATAAATGTAGGGGTAAAAGAGAAAGTAGTGTATGTCAATTTTGGATAAATGTGTAAAATAGAAATTTTAAATTTGCCTCTTTCTTTGGTATCAACTATATCAATATAATTAAATTATAAAGCAATATTATTTCATTTTCAAAATATAAATTCATGTGAGTTCTTGGGATTAAAATATTTTAAACGACTCTCATGGAAAATTATAAAAATTGACTTTCACAACTTTCGCTTTAATATTTACCTATAGGTAAATATTTTAATATGTATAAAAATCAATTAACCTTTGTCGTGATATCGAGGAAGTTCTAGATCCATCAATTGCTTCTAATATTTTTTCAAATCCATTCTTAATACAAATAATATTTATCATTAGTATATATTTCATAAATATACTAATAATTATATAAATGTTCATTTTTTTTTCATATTTATGTACTTCCGTGGTTTTTATCGGGAGATTTTAAATTAAAATATATAATTAAGATATGCACTGTAATGACTAAAATAGTATAATTCATTAATTTTAATACCTATAATTGTTTTGTTAAGTAATAATTTTTTCATAAAAAAAATATGGAGTAAAGTTTAATTATCCATACGAACTATGTTGAGCATCAAGTTTGCTGTAAAAAAGCTATTTCAAAAGGGTAGACTTTATGGGTAATTTACAAAATTTATAGAAACTTATAAATATTGTTATACCATTAGATGAATATCAGACTAAATAAAATATTCAATAGCCTATTTTGTAATACAATTTTTTGAGTTATTATAATTTTCAGTTTAAGCAAAAAAAGTGTACAACATAGTAATATTCTATCTGCGCATTTGGTAAATAGAGCGTCGCTAAATACTACATTGCTCTTTACCTTGTCTAAGTCTTTGATAATTATTATCTCAAAGATTAATAATACAAAATTGGTTACCAACCACTTAACGAAAAAGTAATGAGTTGTATAATTATAAAAAAAAACACTATATTTATGCTGTGAAAAATAATCTTGGATGTTTTGTAACATTAAAAAACAAAGTCACTAATTTTCATTAAACAATCCTTATGAATTTAAAGTTTATTATGTATATATTTAAATATTATTGTGCAGAAGCTACTAACTTCACTCTTTTTATACAGCATGACAACAGATCTTACTGCAAGATCATTAACTAATATATAACTTTCTGATGAATCACAATCAATTGTTTTTGGCTTGTAAAATGATTTTGTCAATGTATCAAAAACGGAAAGACTAGCTGGTGTAAATGTAATTTCTAGTCTATTAGTTTCTACAGTAATATATGTCAACACATCTAGTTCATCAGAATCATTTTCTAATCCAGAATCACTAGAATCACCTGAAAATTATCATTTAAAAATAAAAAAAAAATAAGTATGATTTAAAATAATATTATACTTAGTTTTTTTTTTATTGTATAGTTCTTATTTAATAGTTTAGCTTCATGTTCGGCAATACTTTCGTCGCTAGAGTCTGTATTTGTAATTTCCTCATCACTAAACTCACTATAAAGTATACATTTAAAATTTAAACATAATAACTGCAATGCTTTATATACTAGAGTAAAACCTAGTAAAATCAACAAATTTTTACTTAATATACAGTTAACAAATTTTTTTTTGTTGATTAAAAAAAAAATTTAGTCAAGATGACTATAAATTATCAAGCAAACAATTATTAAATTCGAGTAACAAACTATGATGGATCTACAACAAAAATAAAGTTCAACTGTATTTTTATTCGGTGTAATATTAACCAACTCTGAAATAAGATGCGATACTGCTTTAGCCAATTTATCCATTACTCCGGTATCATTATCTGAATCTGAATCGCCAGAATACCATTTTTCGAATGAAGATTCTACTTAAAAAATTTAATGAAATTAATATTTTTATAGAAATGTATAAATATATATATATATTTACCCCTAGATTTTGCTGCTTTTCTGATAAATTTCATTTCAGATTCACTTTCATCGCCAGAACTCTCTGTTTCTACATCAGCAATTGATTGAGGAGGTGACCGCGCCATTTCTTCTATATCTACGTGTTTATCATTATATTTTCCTATAAATCCCTAAAAATATTTATATATATTAATATGAGAAAAAAATGTTCTAATATTATTTAAAATAACCAACTTTCAGCAATATATTCCATGGTTCAATAAGAGGTTCCCAAACTCCTAGATTATAATTATAGTATGAAGATTGAAAACTCAATCCACCTATAATTAAAATAAATTAGTTTAAAGAAATCGGCTAATTTTATAGAATTAAATTTTTATTTTGACGAAATATTAGTCGAGCAATAATAAAACTGTATGAATAAATGTCCGAGAATTTCGATTAATTAAATTTTTCATATTTCTATTCAACTACATCTCTGCAGCTCTTAGTGATATATTTAATATATATTATACTCTCATATATATTTTTTAATTAAATATAAATAATGTTATTATTTATCTATGACTATCAAAAATCCATATATAAATAAATTGCGTTTATTAATAGGTAAAAATACCCAAGATAACTGAGATATGTACCCACGCATAATTTATTATTTGTTTAAATCATTGATTTTTATGTTTAGTATTTTGTTTTAACAGTGTTACAGTATTTTAAAAATCAGCTTAAATTTATGACAACCAAAATAAAACTATTAGCTAAAAAAATATTTTTTTTTAAATAATTTTTCTTTGAAGACATAACTTGATACACATTAGGTTAACGAAAATTTTATATATTAGCTTCGATGCGAAGCTGAGAACGAATTAAGTTTATCATGATGTGCTTTTTTTTGTGTGTCTGTTGCCACTTTTTTGAGGTCTTACAGGACGAATTTCTTTCAACGATATGTCAAAAGATTACAAATCGTATCTAGTTGAAGAAATTACCCTTAACAATTGAAAATGTTGCCCTTTATCCCGTAAATAGTGAAACGCACCCAAAAGATAACAATTTTTAAAATCGGTAAATTTTGTCACTTTTTACTTAAAACTTCCATAACTTATTGAAAAATGAACAAATCAAAATAATTATTTTTTATATTGAAAACTTAGGTATATCTCTTTCATTTGAAATAAAAATTTTGAAAATCTGACCTTTACCTGCTCACAAGAAGGAATTCAAAATAGCAACTTCTGCACAAAAGTTTAACTTTTTCAACCTAACTTTTAAAAATGTTCGGAAATTTAAACAAACCTGTCCACAGGGGGGATTCAAAAAAGTAGTTTTTACACACAAGTTAAGCTTTTTCAATTTAATTTTTGTAAATGTTCCGAAAATATTGACACTTTTATTTAATCTTAAAGCTTATATTATATATTTTACTATGAAAAAAAAAAATTTATGTATAGATTTTCTTCTTGGTGAAAATGACTACCGTATTCAAAAATTTGGTATTTTTGTGTTAAAATTCTGGGTTTTGTATTCTATTTTGTTTTAAAATATCTTACAAGAGGAATACATTGACTTTCACGATTATTATATAATTTAATTGACATAAAATAAAGTTCATGAGACATAAGAAGTTAAACTTATTAAAATTTTTTTGCTTTTTTAAAGCTGAAAAAGTAACTCTAAAATTTGAATTAGCTTAAATTGCCAATTTTATCAATCGACGAAAGTGACGAGTAGTTGCCGAATTGGTAACTTTTGTGTCTTTCACGCTTAGGGCACGAGGTTAGAATGCGCCAGTGCCAATCGATATTTTTCATTTTTTTTTTATTTAGATAATAATTTTCAAATCATTTGATTTTTATCTCATTTCGATTCAAAAACTTCAATAAATATCAAGGATCCCATAACTCTAGTCTCCCCTCATGAGAAGAAATTTCTTATTCATGTTAATATTATTTTACTAAGTGTTTTTTTTTTTTGTGGCTGCGATTTATTATTCTAACCCTTACTTAACCTACTATTTTAACGATACGTCAAATGATTACAATTTGTATTTAGTTGAAGATATTACCCTCTAAAATTGAAAAAAATCCCTTAATAAAATAAAAAGTAGCTTAACCAGCTTTATCCATACAAACCATTAAAATCATTCATTTCTAATATTTTTAAATTATTTATTGTCGAATTGAATTTGATATGATAAAAGTATTCAACTACAAAAGTAAATAATTTTACTTTGTAATTAATTAATTTTTTAACTTTATTTGTGAGTTCTATTACCAGTCTATAATATTCCAATTTTTTTTTGTAACATGTTGCTATATAGATCATAAATCTAAAAAAAAATTGATTTTTAATTTCACCTGAATTTAACAATGGATTTTTGCAATTATAATCAAATTTAATAATACACTCAAATGAGTAGATCTTTTTATTAACTTTTTTTTTTTATTAGTTTTTTTAGTTAAAATAAATCATTAAAATTAATTCAATTCTGCATATTTCAATTGTAGAAACTTTTCAAACACCAAAATTTAATTAGAAATGAATACTATGATTTCTATTTAAGTGATCTATAACGATAAAAATGCAAAAAAATTCGAGCTTTTCTGATAAATTTACTGTAAATAGTAATTATAATATTTCTTAACTGCATATTAATCTTAACAATACCATTTTTTTTCTATTTAATGTAGTCAATTTCAAACTTGCGAGTTGAGCTAAAAGTTGTGGTAATAAATTCATTTTTTTTTTTATTATAAACTTTCATTTAAAGAAAAAAATATTAAGTTAAAAATGATTACTTTTAACATCAATTAAAATCAATAATAATTTGAATACAATTAATTATAACAATTATATATTATATTTTTGAACCTAAGAATTACTAATCTGGATATAATTAAGGAAATAGAAGTTAATGTTGCTTTTGTAATTATCCACTAATTTTTTAGATATAAACACTATCTATAGATTTGAATCGAAGCGTTTCTTATGATGGTGATTTTAATCACTGACAGATTAAATCTATACTGGACCCAACTTGCCACGTTTACACTGTGCTAGGTTTTTTTTATTTTAATTAATTGAGTAAAAGTTTTCTAATTAAGATAATTTTTCATACCATTCAAACGTATCTGATCAGACCAATCTTTTATTTGTATTTTAAGAGAAGAGTCTAAAAAAACTAATGGGACATCTTCCATGTCCAATTCTTCTACTTCGAAAGAAATATGGATGTCTTGCATGTATACTTCAAGATTTTCTGATTTTACATCAATTCTATCAGATGATTTATTATGAAGATAAGATATAAATGATTTCCGGTTAATGGCTCTACTGGGAGTGTAGGTTGGAGTGATTGATTTTGGAGTCCATAAGTCTTCAGTCTTATACTCCCAATAAGATGATCCACCAAAATCAACATCTTCCTCGCAATTAAGTTCAATATAGTCAATGACCTTTAAAAATATAATAATAATAACAACAATAAATAATAATAGTACTTTTTACTACTAAATGATATATAATGAAATTATTTTAATAAATCTAAATTACACTAAGAATAATATGAATTGTGCTTGTTGATAAATTTAAATTCAGGGGACTGGAACGGATGAGAACATCGACAGCGTCATGGTCTCCTGAACTAATTATTCTAGACAGCTCTATGTCACACGGATGTAAAACCTAAAACAATAAATTATGAATTTTTAAAAAATAAAATAGCAATAATAATAGTTACCATTTTTTGAGCTTTACGTTTCGATGAAATAGCAACCAAGTGGAAATTTGATAAAGATACTATGAGACCTTCCTCATGACCTGGATGGCGACTATAATCTAATAAGAACTCTGTTCTACATAATAGTGATTGATCACGATTTTCTGATTCTTCAATTTCAGGGGGTAAAAGTGCTATCTCAGGCTGTTCAAATCGAACCGATATTGTTAAATCTAATGTTTCATCAATTTTTTCGTTAAAAACTCGATTAAATAAATAAAAACTTAAAATAATTGAATGAAATAAACAAAATACCTGATTGATTATTAGTAGCAATAGTCTTTTTTACTTGTACGGGTTTCTCATCTCTATATTTTTTATGACCATCAGTTCGATTTGTTGGTGACAATAATAATTCATAATCAGATACAATTTTCTTTATTGGAAGAGAGTCAAATATAAACTGTGACAATTCAACAGCGAATGGTATGGATATATTTAATCGCGTCTTATCTAAATGTATGTTGATACTTTTGTCACCTGAACAAGTTTTTTCGAAGAATAAATCAAATAACGGTGGTGTCAAAACCGAAATATGAACTTCAACTGACGGATCTAACGGACCCATTGAATCAAATATTCTAAAAAAGGATTAATTACTTTATTATATCACAACTAATAATTTTAAATACTCCATACATTTTTTCTGATTTATTCAGCTTTCTTGTATCTTCTACTAAACATTTTTGTATGAATGAATTTAAAGTTACTTTATTATCTGAAAACATGTCAATTTTAACGTGAATTTCATCTAAACTTAATTTACACAATGAATGATTCATGTCACGTATGGGAGAACTCAGTATCTGAAAATCATTAATAATTAATTTTTATGTTTTTTTTTGTCACTTTCATTTATTTTCTCAGCTCTAATTTTTTTAATTATATGTCAAATTATTAAAATTCGTAACTAGTTGAAGATACTACCCTCAAAAGTTAAAAAAAACTTCCACTTTATCAATTAAAAAGTTACTTAGCCCACATTCTCCATGTGGACAGTTAAAATTATACATTTCTAATTTTTTTAAAGTATTGTCAAATTATGTTTGATATGATAATAGGTTTTAATTATAAAACTAAATAATTTTATTTTGTAATTTATTAATTTTTAGCTTCGATGCGAAACTTAGAAGGTATTAATTTTACTATGATGTGTTTTTTTTTTAATAAAGTCCGAAATTTTTTTTTTCCATGACAAAGTATATTACATTAGCTTTAATTAAAAATATATATAAAAGTGTCANTGTGTTTTTTTTTTAATAAAGTCCGAAATTTTTTTTTTCCATGACAAAGTATATTACATTAGCTTTAATTAAAAATATATATAAAAGTGTCAGACTTCCGGAACACTTTCAAAAGTTTAAATGAAAAAGTTCATTTTTTGTGAAAAAGTTGTCATTTTAAATCCCCCCCTGTGAGCAGGTAAAAGGTTAAATTTATAAAAAAAATATACCAAATGATAGATAAAGACATAAATCATCTATAAAAAAAAATTATATTGATTTGTTTATTTTTGAAAAAGTTATGACAATTTTAAGTAAAAAAATTTTTAAAAATTTCGAAAATTAGCGAGTTTTAAATTTGTAATTTTTTTGGAGATTTCCCCGATTTACGGGGAACGATGGAAATTTTTTCAATTTTTGAGGGTAATGTCTTTGGTTAGATACAATTTGCGATCTTTTGACGTATCGTTGAAAGAAATCGGTTCGGTGAGAGCTGAGAAAAAGTGGTAACAGACACAAAATAAAAATAAACACATTATAGTAAAA